GTACTATTGTGCGATTCTTACTTGCTAAAGGAGAATGGGAAAATGATCCCTTTGAACGATGCAGGATAACAGATCCCGTATGGTCTCCTTCCTTACATAAAATTCGAAAAATTGTTGTTGGGAGAAATCCACCAATGCCTGTCTTATACTATTTAGATAAATCGGGACCTCAGCGTCCCTTTGTAAGAGAACAATTAATGCATATTAAGGAAGAGCCTATGTTACCCCCTAGGTGGGTACTGGGAGATAACTGAATGCGTACAAGGCGCTTTTTATAAAAGTTTCTAAGTCAACTACGCAATAGGGTATTGTAATAAGGATTACTCCTTCTCTATAGCACAATGCTCTTTTTTTCCAATCACGCCAAATTTGCGCATCTAGATTTATTTGTCCTTGCGGATGAAAAAAAGGCACGATTTGGTAATGTTGATTACCACTATATTCGAAAGCCAAGCCTAGCTCTTCATTGTATCCATCTAGATGTAATCCCTCCAAGAATTTAGGTTTTCTGGGTGAGAATTTTTTATTTAATAAATCCTCAAATATATATCGGCATGTTCTTTCTGGTACATTGGGACAACTATTGCACCACCTATAATTTTGTTTCATATCTTTATAGGATGCTTCCCATCGATGCTGATTTTTACAAACCCATAAATAAATATTAGGGTTTGATCTAACTTTAGCCAAGCATTGTCCTTCACGTCTTTTGGCATAGGTAAGGGCTTTAGTATCAATCTCATTATAATCTTGCATTTTTATAATATGATCGAAGTCATATGATTTTTCAGATTTTTTTCTAATACATTTAATGTAAGAAAGCAGAATATAAAAACTATATAATAAAAATATCACAAAGTACTATATAACTGACAGAAAATAACAGCAGAGCTGGTGCTAAAGTACACATATCCTCATTGATTAAATCGAATTCTCAGATGAGACCTAGTCTCGAGGCTTTGCCTCTTCTAATAGGAGGGATAGGAGCGATAAGACCTAGTCTCGAGGCTCTGCCTCTTCCTGTCATAGCAAGTAGTTTGATGTTACCACTATCAGTATATATTTTTCTTACCTTGCTAATTATTGCAGTTATGTGGTTTGTTATATTGAGACACACATGGAATATAGGTAAAAAAAGTAATCAGTTGCAGGATATGTGGGTTGGATAGCCGGATATTATAATTGAACTTGGATATTATTTATAAATAAAAAAATATAATTAATATTGTATATGTATCTTAGTGGAGTCTGGCAATTCTAACCAAGATCACTTAACAATATAGGTCAACAATCTTGTCAATATCTGATTCGGATAGGTCATCTTTTTTACTGTTTTGTATAATAGATAATGCTTGAAAACGTGCAATCTCAAGACCAGTTACCTTATACCATGTATTCCGGAAATCTATTAATGCTTTACACTCTGATTCCAGATTATATCG